GTTAAGGGTGTAGGGCCTAGGGTTTACCGTTCGAGCGATTTGCTCGCATGCATGCTGACTGCTACAAGTGGGCTCAAAACCCGAAGAGTCGTAGTGGCTTCAAGATGATGGGGTTATGCATGATCTCTCTGCCGAAGTCTCTCGTGGAGAATACTTCAATCCGATACAAACAGGATGCGTCTATCGAATTCACACCAAAGCAAACTTGTTCTGCATCTCGCCGGACAGTAAGGATCAACCAGTGGGCTCCTTTTGTAGGGTTTAGAGGTTTAGGCTTTAGGGTTGTCCTCTTCTTGAATCACAACCTACCGAAATCTACCTTTTGCAGGGCCCGTACACACTCCCTATCAGGGTTGATATTACAGAACCTAGCAAAAAGTAGCTGATGGTAGTTTAAGGTATCGGGCGATATCCGGGAAGCTTTAAAGTTTACATGGGTTTGCGTCTATGCTTCCATGACTTTGTGAGTGTTTCGATCTGTGGCTCCATCAGCCGTTGCAGTATCCTCTGAACCAACAACACGAGGTGGTTCTTTTGTTGAACATCCTATGTTGAACATCCTAAACCATGAGAAACCCTCAAACCCTTAACTTGAAAGCGCCAAGGACCCTGTAATGCCATGAGCAGCCATCGTTTAGGCGGCTTTTCCGGGTCCAAACTCCCCCCCCCCCCCCCCCACTCCGGAGCTACAGGCCTTGCGAAGACGTCCTTCGACGAGATGCGAATTCGAGGCTTTGGAGATTTTTGGTTTGGGCGATTCGTTTGAGGGTTGAGAGTTTAGGGGTTTCGGGATGAGTTTCAGGTCCAAGGGCTTCAAGGCTTGAGGCTCCAGAGGCTTCTGCGAGTTTTGAGGTGCCGAGGTTTCGGTTTTAGAGCTTGGTGCCTGGGCCCTTAAACCCGAACCCCCTAAACCCTGAAGGTTCGGGGTTTCGGGTTGGGGCTTTGGGGCTTTGGGCCTGTGGGTTAAACGTAGGGGCTCGCGCGGAAAGGTGCTTCCAAGGCTTTCTAGGGTCTTGAACTACTTAAAACCTCAGTTTGTTGGTCAGGTCCTTGTACAGTCTATATTGGGGTCCAAAGAAAGAACCTTCTGAGAAGTAGGTTGTGGTGTTCTTGTAAGGGCTTAACTGCTGAGGGAGGGTTTTCAGGAGATGCTGGATAGAGTCGGTCAACAGGATCGGACCTTCTTGCAGCGGGCGGCGTGGCTCTGTGACCTTTGTATGCAATCTTTTCATCTTCCGTAGCAAAGCTTGCTGCATGGGTTCTGCGACATTAGGTGCTGCAAGGTATTGAAGATTCTCTGGATGTGTGCAGGTATCGGCATGTGCAGAAGCCCCCTGGTCTACAAGCCTAAACCCACCCCAAAAACCACGCCCTTGTTAATCGCCCCTTAGGTTCACTAAGAATATGTTACGATGAAAATGAAAGTTGAAACTTCAAGAACAGCCGGTTGTTAACATAAACCATAAACCCAAAGTGCTAAGCCCTACAGTCTCGACCCTCCGCTCAACCCACACGTGGGGCCTGAAGCACCTTCTCCGTTTCAGCACCATCACCACACCACGGTCGTCACCATCTCCTTCTTCGTCATGATCATTACCGGGTTTAGGGTTTAGAGCTTAAGGCATGGGGAAACCTGAAACCCTGAAACCCTGAAACCCTGAAACCCTCAATTCTGAAGCCGCTGCGCACCGACAGGCCTTCGGGGTGCCCTCTGCTGGCTCCTGCTGCAGTGGCGTCGCCGTTTCCTCTTCGTCACGGGTTGGTGTTGCGTTTTGCACCTACTATGCTTTGCTTACAAGCAAAAAAGGAACATTTTTTGGATGTTCAGAGGTTTTACTTCGAAAAAACAGCATCATCATGGGCACCTCGTATAGGCTCATTTAAGGTCCTGGTCATATCGGCTACTTTTGGTGAGGGTGTTCTTCTTCGGATCGAAGAATAAGTTTTCACTGAACAAACCCCCTTCCTTGTTTGTGTTGCCTGGAGATCACAACCATCTTGCAGATGGGCAGATCTCTAAGTTGTTGCCTCCTTTAGGGTCCCTTTCATAAGGGTACCGTAGTATCTGCAGGGACCATAATTTGGAGATCTACCCATATATTCCTTGTTTAACCCTAACCCCAAAACCTGCAAAACCCTAAACTCTAAACCCTAATTTAGAGAGCTGCCCATTTATATTCCTTGTTTAGGGGAGTCTTTTCGTGCCCGAGAGTCCTTCAGCCATGATTCTCTCGACCCCCTCTAGACGCCGAGCACACGCCGAAGGGTTATCTATAGGAGCCCTACTAGTTAGAATAGGGTCCTGTTAAAGGGCTACTATAAGGGTTATGATAAGGATTCTATGGGGTTTTGTGGGGGCCTTAATCATTACAATCGGGTTTTGGTGTATAGTCTACTACAATCATAACAAGGAACCCC